TGAAGAGGGTCTGTGCAATCCTTCTGCCTAGTCCGCCATCTTGCCAACCAATTCTTTTTGGTACAATGATTCTGTGTATTCCTTCCATCTTCTTTTGATGTCTCCTGCATCCTTCAATATTTTGTCCATTGAATCTTTCAATACTGCAACTCAAGGCTTGAATTTTCTCATCAGTTCTTTCAGCTTGACAAATGCCGAATGTGTTCTTACCTTTTAGTTTTCTAACTCCAGGTATCTGCACATTTTATGATTGCCTTCGTCTTCTTGAGCTGCTCTTTGAGATCTTCTGTTCAGCTCTTTTATCTTGTCATTTCTTCTATTTGCTTTAGCTGCTGTCCATTCAATAGCAAGTTTCAGATCTCTTTTGACATTGATTTTGGTCTTTTCTTCCTTTCCTGTTTTTTTAATGACCTTTTTATTTCTTCATAGATGATGTTCTTGATGTTATCACACAGTTGTTTCAGGGCTATTCATAAAGTTTTCCAGTAATATATCAGACAGTGTTTCACTGTTATTCATAAAGTTTTCACAGGCCAATTCTTTGAGAAGTCAATAGTGCCTTCCTTCTTCCAAGTCTATCTTAAGTGTGGAAGCTCCATTGAAACCAGTCCCCCATGGGTGACCCTGCTGGTATTTCAAATACTGGTAGTATAGCCTCCAACATCACAGCAACATGCAAACCACCACAGTACAACAAACTGACAGGCAAGTGGTGGCCTGTAAAAATAACTGCCTAGGAAACCCTATGGGGTAGTTCTACCCTATTCTATAGGGCCGCTATGAGTCAGAGTTGACAATGTGAGTATGCCATAAAAAGAAAACCAAGCCTGTAGGTCAGAGTTTCTCAACACCAGCACTCTTGACATTTGGGGCCAGATAAATGTCATGTGGATGGGTAGGTGTCCTGGATAGCATCCTTAGCTTCTACCCACTAGTTATGGTAGCCTCTCTCCAGTTGACAACAGATAATGTCAGATGTTGCCAAAGTCTCCTAAGAAACTCTAGTCTCCTGGTTTAGAGCTTTCTGTTACTAGAGTGACTAGTGTGTTAGTTCACAGGAAACAATGCAACAGAGTAACCTGTTAAATGTTATTCTGGGGGATGATGTAAGTAAAATCCAAAATGTGTAACACAGGATAAAGACCTGGTTCCTTCAAAAAATAAACTTCGAGAAGAAAAAAAAAGTATAATAAAGGGGGGAAAGAATGGATGGATTCAGTGACTTAAGAGAAGGTAAGCAAATGCAATAGAAGGATCATGTTTGGAGCATGAGCAGAACAAACCACATGCAAGAATACATTTGAGACAAGTGGGGGAAATTCTAGTATCTTGATAGTTGACATTTCAGAATTTATTCAAGGATCCCAATGTTTTAGAGTTATATATGGAAATATTTATGAAATGACAGGTCTAAGTTTCACATCAAAATAATCTAATGGAAAGGACAGATTGAATGAGATCATGGATAAAATGAGATTGGCCATCAGTTAATGATTGTTGAAGTTGGGTTATCATTTTTTACTTTTGCATGCGTTTGTCTTTTTTCATAATTAAAACAGAAAAAGATGATAGTGTAGTTATGAATCAACTTACTGGGTGAGTTTAAAGGAATTGAATTCCTAGATGGTCTCTGGGCACAAATTAAACTATTGAAATAGTGTCCAAACTATTGAAATAGTGTCCAAGATAGATCATATAGGCTGATCAAGTCTGTAGTTAAAAAAAGTGTTACTGAAAAGTAAATGCTAGTTGCCACCTGGGAGCTCTGGTGGTGTAGTGTCTAAGACATTTGACTGCTAACCAGAATGCTGGCGGTTCAAACCTACTAGCCACTCCTTGGAAGGAAGATTGGGCAATCTACTTCTGTAGTGCTACTGCCTCAGAAACCCAAGGAGGGGTCGCTATGAGTCAGACCTGACACAATGGCTGTAAGTTTTTGTTTTTGTTTTTTTTTTTAGTTGCCACCTAGTTGATTCTGACTCATGGTGACCCCATGTGTGTCAGAGTAGAATTGTGCTCCAAGGGGTTTTAAATGGCTGATTTTAGAAGTATATCGCCAGGCCTTTCTTGCAAGGCCAGGTACCTCTGGGTGGACTTGAAGCTCCCACCTTTTGTCTAGCAGTAAGCATATTAACTTTGTACCACCCAGCACTCCTAAAAAGTGTTATAAGCTTTTATTGATAGGACTTCTGTCACATTAATCATACCACACCAAATGCTTTCTAATTTTAACCACATAAAGGGAAAAAGAAACAAGGAATCCAACTAAGTTGAAACACTCGTTTTTATAAAAATGTGTTTTATTTTAAAACAAATTTATAAAAGTAGAAATCACATACAAAAATACAGATTTTATTCTGACATCTGAGCAAAGTAGCTTATGGCTGGACTCGAGTTTGAAGTATTGGATGTTTGAGGGCATCTGGAAGTCAAATTCCAACCTGATTCCATCACCAGCCCTTGTCACTAATCAGTAAACAATAATTTCAAGTAGTAGTTAGCACTCTGTCACTACTAATAAATTGAAACATCATCATTGTCTGTGTAACGCTACTCCAAAACGTTCTTCCCTAAGTCTGAGCAGATAAGGGCACTTCATCCTATTGTTTTTAACATTTGAAAAATACAATTACAAACCACAACAAAAACAAAGATCACTTAACATTAATAGGAAGGATGGACTTTGATTTTTTTGTTCTATTTTGAAAATATGGGGAAATCATCAATTTAAACAAGATGCTAGCTTCTTTTCTTTTTTTTAAATAAATGCATAATCTAACTTTATTGCTGCTACCCGTTGTTGTGTGTGTTTCTTTAAGCACCAATGCTACCAAAAGGATTAAAACCCAAATGTTTACTTTTATATAAGTGCAAGTCATGCTTACTGCTAGGAAACGACATGGGCCTGCTTTGAGTGTGTATTTCTGACAGGAAGGAACCTGTAGTTCCTCTTAGGGAACTTCAGATCTAGTAACTGTATAAAATGCATAGTTTCAAGCCATTAGTGTGGCAGATGGTTTTTTAAAAGGCAATTAAAATACTTGATTCCAAAGTAATATAAAAATAATCTCAAGAACCTCAGCAATAAAGGAAAACAGCAGGCAACTTCATAATTCTGTCCAATATTTCAAGAATAGAGACTGATTGGTTAATAGCACCTTTCTGAAACAAAGCGAGCCCTTTTTAAAAGCTAAAGAACCCATGTTAACATATTGATCATAAAGTTAGCAAACCACAAATATATTCCCTCAACTAATTTATAATTCTTAGAAAACAGTACCTTCTGTAAATTCAAAGATAACCTCAAATTAATGTCATAAAAAATTACCTTTTGAGCCTTCAAATTCTACACGAGTTCTATACCTCTGTTTTGTTTTGATTTTTAGGTTTAAGATGAGTTCCATGGGCCTATGTGATCACATGAATGTAATTTCAAACTGAAAGTCAAAGGTAAAATGCAGTTTTCTCTTTTACTTTCCTCAGAAGAGATTGTGTCAAATGCTACTTACGTAGCATCTACCTTGCTGTTCATTTCACAAAAGAAATAGCTTACTGTCCTTCCAATCTACGTCTTATATATGAAAGCAATACTGAAAAATTAAATAGAAAAGCCAAGTTACCTTATAGATTACTAAAACTATTTGCTGGGGGTGATTTGTAGCTTGATTCTAAACAGACTTAATAAGAAGGGCACTTGAAGAGATGGCTCAAATTTTGCTTTTGAAGGGACATTGAAATGATAGGCTCAATCTCCTAAAATTTCAAGACCTACAACTCAGGCTTTTGAATGAATGGCTGAGTCAGAAGGTTTTATAGTCATTTCAAAAAGCAATACTTCATAGTTTTCTCTCTCAAATCATCCTCTAATGGCAAGACAATTGCAAGAATGAAGGCAAAAGAAAAACCTGGAATAAAAACAGTTGAAGGCTCCAGCATTTGGGCTTCCTATCTATTTTCCCTGTTCCACAGAAAAAGGAGACACCATCTTGAGTAAATATTTCACAGGCAATTGGGCTTTTGCAACGACAGTCGGCATTTGATGCCCCATATCTCTTGATTCTTTTTATTACTAGTCGTTGGTCTGGCAATGGTTGTGAAATGGGAACAATTAATCTGTAGATGAGGAAGAGCCTCCTTCAACACTTGAAGGGTACCATCTGGCACAATTCCAAAAACTTGTAGTGTTTTTAATGTGGGAATTTCTCCAAGTTCACTGAAAAAGAAGAGAGAGACCTTCAGAGTAATAGTATCTGTGGAAACTAGAGTTATATGACCCAATTTGTGTAATTTATGTCATATTCTATAAAATCCAATATGAAAACATAATTTGCAATAAAGGATTTGGGAAAATAGGAAAGATGAATCAAACTGCTAAGCACAGGCCACAGCTTGAGCAATGTGGCCTTGGAAAATATGGCAATGCATTTTGTTGAATAAGGCTCATATCCTTAGAAAGTTGTATTTAAAATCCAGCAATATCGGCATCCTTTATACAGTGATCTAAAAAAATGGACTGTGTTATAAGTAGCTAGTAAACTAGTGATGATAAAACTAAGCGTTTTACAGAGGTATCAGTTGGAATGAGCACAAGTTACAAGCGATTTATGCATATGGACTTGACCTTTATTGGAACTAGGCTTGCTCTCTCAAAAGATGTCAGCAGTAATGATAACTCATTAATAATGGTTAATAGGCAACAAGTCCATTAAATGTGATAAAACCTAACAGTGATGTCACCGAAGATGTTTTAGACAGAGTCATGTAGTTGGATATAGATGGAAAAAGGGGTGGCACCTTTATTGGAGGAAGAGTCTTTTTACCTCTCTACATATTACCATTCATTTCTATCACCTCTCTTCTTACCCACATTAGATGAAACACTACTCTGTCAAAAGTGAAGTTCTGGTTCATGAAAAAGGTAACCTATTTCTCTAAAGTAAATACTTCTGGTAATGAGTCAGTCTTCTTAACTTAGATCAATGTGCCTAGAAATCTCACTCTCTGATCTGTATTTGCTCCAGGTTGGGACACACAGTACAAAGTCTCAGTAGAGGGAATATTTATTTTGAAATTTCAACAAAATCCCACTGCAGATCAATGAATACATCAATGACCTTGAGTCAGAAGCATCCTTTACATTTTCACATTATCAGTAATTTCTTAAACAAACAAAAAAATTCTTCCTTATAATTAATTGTCACCTTACTTCCAATCTTTCTTCCCTCAGTCTATTTTCTATGTACCAACGGCTAAGGTATCCCCTGCTATGCCGAGCTCAGCCTATGTCACGTCTCTGCTCCAAAACCTTTGATGTTTCCCCCTTGTTTGTAGAACTTTAAACATGTACTCACATGGCCTTCAGACAGTCTGTGCTTACCTAATCTTCCAGTTTTCCCACTTCCACTCTAAGTGTATCTATGCTACATTCCACAAAATGTCTTCAGTACCACAGATTTTGAACACAGGTTAACTGAGGACAAGAAGGATAATTTAGAAAATAAAAGCACTATTCAAATAAAGTAAGTAAGCATGTTATTCATAAAGGAATGAGAACTGGAGGCCACAACAAACAAAAAGAAAATCAAGAAGAGTAAAATGCTGTTGTTCTTAAATATACTATACCCTGGAATGTAGAAACAGAAGTATAAAAGAAAAGTCACAATCCACAGATGTGTAAATTTATGATGACAGAAATCCCATCCCAACTTTGAATCCCCCTCACATGATATTTGAACCTATGTGAAATTTGTATTTACTGAGAATTTTGGTTCTGGAATATCCAAATTAGCTATATTGTAAGCTATTCTGTGGTGGATTAACACGGAAAACAAGAAACTGGGTAGATACAAGAAAAGGAGGTCCAGCAGATGGCAGAGGAGGAAATGTTCTTGCATCAAGGCCTTGGAGAAGGTACTTGATGGGGAAGGCAATCACACAAGTCTTAGAGTACACTGGGGTGTTACAGGTGAGAAGGGAGCAAGATGCTCAAGATGGGATGATGGATGAAGGACCAGCTCCAAGTTTAAACACAAGAAAGTCTTTAGCATTTTGAGGAGGGGCAAAAAACAAAACAAAACAAAACCCATGTGCCTTTTATAATGTGCATCATCTACAACGCAGCAGAACAAATTTGCAAGCATATTGAAACTACAATTGACAAGACTTTGCAAACTATGAGATGGTGAATAGAGATTAATAGTTTAAGAGTTGTTATTTATAATTTTGCTGCTGTTGTCAAGCTCTGGAGTTGGCGCCAACTCACAGTGACCCCATGTACAACAGAACAAAATGCTACTTGTCCTGTGCCAGCCTCACAATCACTATTCTGAGCCTGTCGTTGCAGCCACTGTACCAATCTATCTCGTTGAGGGTCTTCCCCCTTTTCACTGACCCTCCACTTTACCAAGCATGATCTCCTCCAGGGAATGGTCCTTCCCGTCTGACAAAATGACCAAAATATGTGAGATGAAGTCTGGCCATTCTCACTTCCAAGGAGCATTAAAAATGACATTGGTAATGTTTGAAATCTTTTCCTTAATTTTAATGAACAAAAGATATTTATAAAATCTTTCATTTGTTTACTCCTTCCTGTAGCAACATAATCTTGTGCTCCTTATAACATCTTAAGTTCCTCAACTACAAATTCTCCTACCACAGAAGTGTTTAGTTTCTCCTAATCTCTGATTAATTTACTATCTCCAGCTTGGGTTTCTTATTTGAATGAGAAATAGAGAATAATTGCAAGAAACTTTGCACTCAGGGAACACATCACTTATGGTGTAAGGAAGTATGTGTACAGTAGGAATAGGTCCTAAGGGGGGAAAAAAAAAAGGTATAGTGTCTGAAGTATTTAAGGCATTATTATTACAGAGAAAAGGCATACATTTTGTTTCCCTACTTCCAAGATCAGAAATAAACAGGTACACAGTTAGTGCTCTGGAAATCATTGTTGAAGAAGCCTGGAGTTTTCATTGTGCACTTTAAATACATTAGCTGCCAGAATGACAGAAATTAGGAGGAAAGAAAATTTTCTTAAGAAACTTTTAAGGTTAGTAGACCAGGAAGATCATTTTAAAAAGTTCAGAAGGTAATTCAGTGGACTATTCACATCGCAGCCACCGTGTCAATCCATCTCGTTGAAGGCCTCCCCCTCTTTCGTCGACCCTCTACCCTACCAAGCATGACATTCTTCTCCAGGGAATGGTCCCTTCTGACAACATGATCAAAATTGGTGAGACAAAGTCTGGCCGTTCTTGCTTCCAAGGAGCATTTTGGGTGCACTGCCTCCAGGACAGATGTTACTTCTTTTAGCCGTCCATGGTACTTTTCAGCATTCTTCGCCAGCACCACAACTCAAAAGCATCAACTCTTTTTCAGTCTTCCTTATTCACTGCCCAGCTCTCACATGCATACGAGGCGATTGGAAATACCATGGCTTCTGTCAGGCGCACCTTAGTTCTCAAGGAGACATCCTTGCTCCTCAGCACTTGAAAAAGTTCCTTCGCGGTGGACCTTCCCAATGCTAAACGCCGTCTAATGTCCTGACTGCTGCTTCCATTGGCACCAATTGTAGAACCAAGCAACGTGAATTCTTTGACAACCTCAATCTTCTCTCCATTTATTGTGATGCTGCTCATTGGTCCAGTTGTGAGGATT